GTCGTGTGTCTCCTAGTTCAGCTCTAATCTAGATAGGACCTTGCTAAAAAAAGCTACTAGGCACCATGATCCATTTGGTTGTTTCTGTGACAAAACGCCAGCCACGACCCCATTAGAGGCGTCAGTCTCCAGCCTAGTATCATACTCTAGGTGGTAGTGATATAAGGTAGGGATAGCAAGCAGTAAGGCTTTTAACCTCTTAAAGGCCTAATCGCAGTCTAGGTCCTATACAAATGGCTTTAATAGGCTTTGCAGCGCGATAATAGGCTTTGCAATTCGCGAGTATTCTTCTACGAATTATCAGTAAAATCCTGTGAAGCCAAGGAACGACTTCACACTAGTAACGGTGGTGGGCCGGACCCAGTTTCGGAGGGCTTCGACCTTGTCGGGATCTACCTCTAGGCCTCGGTCTGTGAGGATGTACCCCAAGTACTTGGTCCGAGTGACATGGAATTCGCTTTTCTTGATGTCTACTTGGAGTCCTGCTTGTTGGAGCCTTTCTAGTACCTTGCGGACGTGCTGAATGTGTTCTAACATAGACTTAGAGTATATTAAGATGTCGTCTAAATAGGCTATGCAGAAGTCGTTAAGGTACTTAATTAACACATTATTCATGTACCGCTATTATGTTGCTAGACTATTGTATAGGCCAAATAGCAATACCTTAGTCTTATACGTTCTATAGCGGGTGCGAAACGTAGTGTACTCCTTAGAGTTAGGGTTTATACAGATCTTGTTAAAAGCCGCGCGTATGTTAAGCTTAGTGAAGATCTTGGCCTTATAAGGACAGGCAAGTAGCTTATTAATACGCGGGATTAGATACGCATCCTTGCGTGTAATAGCATTAAGCTTATAGTAATCTACGCAAATATAAAGGTCTCTATTTAGCTTCTAAACACAAAGGACAAGAGAGGCAAAAGGACTATAGCTTAGGACAAAGTATCCCTTCTAGAGATTCTCTATAACGAACGCCTTTGTCGCTTAGAGTTCTTCAGTACTCTGCTTATACAATAGGCTAAACTAGTTCGGCAGAGGCTCAGTAAGAACGATCTTATGGTCGTACAGACGGTGTTTAGGAAGCTAGTTAGCTGCTGTTTTGCTAAACACATCTTAGTACGGATGGTAAACGGATAGAAGTCAATCCTAAACTAACTTGGCATTTTTAGGATCGTCTAGTGGTTGTCTGTCTTTAAGTATCTGATTAATCTTATAGAGGCTTGTTGTAAAGAACTCGTTTTCTTGACGTTTTATAGTGTAATGGAAGGCGTTGGCAGAAATAAGTGCAATGCGAGGGGGGGGTAAGAGAAGAGGTGATGTTGGGTTGGGTCGATTTCGGGGTTGCGTCAGAAGCGGGTGGGGAAGGGTGAGCGGTAGGAAGTTAGAGTATTCCTCAAATTCTACCTACCCAAGCGGAAGCTAGGCTTTTTCTTCTCTAATATTCGTCCTTCTCCTAGAGAGCGTTGCGCCTCTTAATATCCTTCTTAACCTTAGTATCAACAGTCAGTTGTTTTAATTGCACTAGGATAGGTGGAGCGGGATTATACGTCGCTAGGTACTTAGCTAGCTATACAATTTAGTTGCGAACCGTATCTAGTTAGAGCTAGAAGCAGCGTAGCCACTTAATCCTAATAATACAATCCTATGATCCCAAGTCTATAATAACGAATGGGCAGTTGTAGATCTTGCGGCCGTCGATCGAGAGGTGCAACTGGATATACTAGTTAACCCTTGTTTAAACCTAATCTTGAAATCCTTTAACTGTAATCTTGAAGGGCAGTCTTTAGATAGGAACCTAAAGTGAACTAGAAATAGTACAAGCAATTGCAGAATTTAGAAATAAGAACCCTTAGGCTCTAGTATCAACCAGCAACTGCAGGCTAACGCCGTAGCCCTTCGAGCAAAGAATAGTGGAAACTTGGAAGTGCTTTCCTCTAAACAAGTGCGACAGATCAATCTTAGCAAGGTCATACTTGTAAATGCCTAGGGCGGAGCGTTTTCCTAGGCTTCGTCGTTTCCCATCCGATCGTCATCCAGATGATATTCTATAGCTTCCTCAAACACTTCTTCTTCTTGCACTGCTTCTATCTCTCTTACCCGCGGGACTGGGCAGTCGTTCGCGAAGTGTCCAGGCTTGCCACAGTTGTAACAGTTGCCAGGAGTAGCTTGGCTTTCTGGCACTGGTGTCTTTGAGGCAGCCCTGGGTGCACTCGAGAGGGCCCGTGGTGAGGTCGGGGCGGGGTCGGACTTTACTCCATAGGTGGTGGGGCGATACTCCCTTGTGTGGTTGACAGTTGGCTTGGGTTTCGCCGTTGGAGTGTAGGTAGTCCGTCGCTCCGATAGTGATACAATAGGAGCCGATCGTCTTTCTAACTCAAAAGCAGTGAGATGCTTGCACATCTCGTCGAAGGAGCTATCAAAGAAACGCTTAACAGGCATGTTAGGAACACGTAAAGCTAGGCTAATCTTCTGCTAAAGGTAGAAGGGCCACTCTAGTTCTGATACATGTCCTTTGATAGCGAGACTAATAAAACGAGCTTTGAATTCTGGGAATAGTTCTCTATCCTTTATAAACAGATGGTGGAAAGCAGCTTGGCTTTCCGCCTGCTCGTTGCTAGTTACGAAGTATGATTTGAGCAGCTCAATTATTTCCTCTACGTTTTGGAACTGGTACCTATCCGCCTTAGATAAGTACTTAGGTTCAAGATATCCCCTAGCATCACCTAACGTGTGACTATACACCATTGCCATCTAGTAGCGTTCCGTAGGGAAGTGATCTTCGTTTAATACGAGACGGTCTTCTACTTTAGCTTGCTATTGTGGGAAGGTGGGGTCTTTCCTATCGCTTAATTAGCTAATAGTAGATGAGATAAGACGGCTTAGTTGGCCACGTGGAGCCTTAGGGGTGGTGGACAGGAACCTTAGTAATTGGCTTGGAGGTTGTCCTACCGTTGTCAGTGGGGATTTGGTAGTAGGTACGATATTATTTTGGAGCTCCATATTCTCTTAAGTTAACCAGCGGACTTGGTCCGATAGGCTGGCCATCTGTCGCTGGACGTCCTTCATAGAGAGCTCTGGCTCCGAATCGTCTTCGTCTT